GTTTTGCCATTTCCTTCTCTAGCTCCTTTTACAGATGAGAAAACTGAGGCCAACAGGGTTAAGTGACTTGCCCAGTCACACAAATAATAAGTGTCTGAGGACAGATTTAAAGTGGATGATGAGTTTTCCTGACTCCAGCCCAGCACTCTATTCACTGTGATATTAAGTAACGGAACCTAGGCATTCTGAATTCTCTTTGTTCCACTAAATTTAGTCTCTGGCCCTTGCAAATATTCTACCATGGCAGCTTTGGTCAAACCTAGTATGAGACCAAATGTTCAACCTTTGAGGTTCTCCATCAATTGTTCCAGAACATTTCCCATGTCCCTGGCTATGGCTATAGCATTTCAGTGATGTATCTCAAATGGTTCGTCCCCTGAGAAACTTCAGTTTAAGGTACTGGAGAGTACAGAGACCTATGAGCATCTTTAGCAGGCTTTAATTCTGTAGCTGTCTCTTTCTCTAGCATCAATCTTTCTTTGGACACTCCTCAGCTTAAGATAGTTTTGACTTGATATAGTATCTCCTCATCCTCAGGGAGAGGACTGATGGTTCAGTTTCTCCATAGCCTTGAAATTTTATTTTACAATAATGTAGTCATTCAGATAATTTACAGAAAACAGATAGGGTTTGATGTCTCCTCTCATTAAGTGTGTACTCCACTTTTCTGTAAGATATATACAGCATCACCTAAGGTATTCTCAATGTTCTTATCTCTTAGCTCTTGAGGCATTTAACTCCATGTAGCCCTAGGTATACTGCTACAAATCCATGTTCTAAAGATTTAATATCACCATTCCCAAATTGATAAACAGTTGAAGGATGTGAATGGGCAATTTTCAGAGGAAGAAATTCAAGCTATCAATAGCTTATAAAAAACCCTCTAAACACTAATAATTAGAGAAATGAAAATTAAAACAACTCTGAGATTCCATCTTACATCCATCAGATTGGCAACGTTGGAAGGAGAAAAGGAAATGATAAATACTGGAGGGGCTACGAGAAAACAGGGACATTATTAAATTGTTGGTGGAACAGTGAACTGGTCCAGCCATTCTTAAAATTGATTTGGAACTATGCCCTAAAAAGCTACTAAATTGCAACAATACCCAACAATACCATGCATAGGTCCAAACCCCAAAGAGATCAAAGAAAGAGGAAAGAAACCTATTAGTACAAAAATATTTATAGCAGCTTTTTTTTTGTGGTAGAAAAGAATTGGAAAATGAGGGAGGGACTAATCAGTTGTGTAATGGTTGAACAAACTATGATGTACATATGTGATGGAATATTCTTGTGCTTTAAGAAAGGGATGATTTCAAACATAGTAAGACTTGTATGAATATCATGATAGAGAATGAAGTGAGCAGAACCAGGAGAACAATTTATATTGTAAATATAATAGTAGCAATATTGTAAATATAAACAACTTTGAAAGGTTTGTTTTATTTTGTTTTTTTAATTTTTTTTCAACTTTGAAAGTCTTTAGAACTGTGATCAATACAATGACCAACCACCATTCCAGAAGACTTGAGATGACATGTTACCCATCTCCTGATAGAGAGATGATGAACTCAGAGTAAAGATTGAAGATTTTTGTTTTGTTTTGTTTTAACATGGTCAATGCAGGAGTTTGTTTTGCTTCACTATAAATGTTTGTTAACAGGGGTTCTGTTCATTGTTTGAATGGGGGGGAAAAGGGGGAAGGAGAAAATGTAGAACTAAAAACAAAATAAAAATTAATTTTAAAAATTTTAATTAAAATGTTCTCATTTCTATGTTACTCATTTTACTTTAAATTGTACTCACAATGTACACAACAGCACAATACATCAGCATTTAAACACAATGATGCAATAATTATTTTAAAAATAACTGGCCTAAATTTTGTTAGAATGGTTTATTAAACTAAATTGAATTCACCTTATAATTCACCTCATACACAGGGGGAAACCCTGCTGTCTAGTCACAAAGTGACAAGAAGTACTTCATTGGATGCATGCATTACCAGGGCATCCAAAATGGAGATCTAGAATGTGTCCCTAAAATATTAGACCTGGGATCCCTCTCCTATTGCCCATGGGTCCTCCAGAAAAGCTGCCCCCAAGATTTTAGGGGTCCTCATCCCCCCCCAAAAAAACATCACTAATGAGTTTCCATTAATACTTTTACTAGGCAGAAGACTCATTTAGTTCAAAACAAAGACATTTAATGAAATAACATAGCAAAAAAAGTTAAGATCATTTTCCCCATACATACTAACAGTGGGAACTCTGAATATACAACTAAGTAGCACACATGAATGAGCACCCACATAGGGAACACATCCGTATTTTGTCCCCTAACTATGAGTGTACCCCAAGGCTTTGGCCCAGCCTCTCCTCTCTTCTATCACTACACTTTCACAATGACCTCATTAGTTCCCATGGGTTTAATTATCATCTCTACACAGATTATTCATTGATCTATATAACCAGCTCCAGTGTCTGTCCTGAGCATCCAGTCCTGTATCACCAACTACTTCTTTTGCATTTCAAACTGATGAACTAAACTCAAAGCAACTCAAACTCGAATTGTAAAAACATAACTAATTCTCTTCAGCCCCTCTAATCTATCTTTCAACCAAATTCCCCCTATTTCATTTGAAAGTACCACCATTCTTTCCAGTTGTCCAGGTTCAAGAATCTCAGCATTATCCTTAATTCCTCACTCACCCTCATGCAACATATCCAATCAGTTAACCATCTCTCTCATCCAACCCCTTTTCTTCACTCACAAAGCTACCACCACCTTAGTCCAGGGTCTCATAACCTGTCATCTAGATTATTGGAACAGCCTCCTACTTGTTCTCCTTGCTTCAATTTGCTCCCCAGTCCTATCCTCCATCCCCACAACTGCCAATCTGATTTTTCTAAAGTACAGACCTGATAGTGTTACACGGATACACAATAAACTCCAGTGCCCCCTATTACCACTAGGCAGAATGATAGCAAAGAACATTAACCTCGGAGGCTGGCCTTTGAGGCTTACTTGTGCACCCAGCCTCTGTTGTCAAGCCTCAGATTCCACATCCATAAAATGAGATCCTTGGACTAGTCACAGGGGTAGGGAACCTTTGGCACGGAGGCCACATAGCCCCCAGGTCACAGGTTCCCCACCCCTAGACTAGGGTCTCTGGCTTCCAGATCGGTGACTAAACACCTCTGCTTTTGAATCCCTTCATAATGTGCCCTTAACCTAGTTTTTGTTATTCCCTGTACCAAACTGTACAATCCAGCAAAACGGATCTTCTCTTGATCATGAGGCACTCCATCCACCATCACAAGAGCTGGACGGCTTGGGGGGCCCCCCTTAACCTCAAAAGGGGCGGTGGAAGGCATACCGGATCTAGAGCCAAGCAAAGGATCAGAGTGTAAATTCTGGGTCTGCCACTTAACTCTTACTTTGGGGAAGTCATTTAATCCTGCTGGCCCTCAATTTTCTCACCTGCAAAATGAGAGTTGGACTATATGGTCTCTTAGGTCTCTTCGGAATCTAGATCTTTGATCCCGTGACTTCAATTCATTGTTCCAAATGCCTGCCTTTATTATGCATATAGAGCCCTATACAAGACATGAATGGTCTTTACCCTCATGGAGCTTGCTGCCTTAGGAATGGATGAGACACAGATTACTATAGCACACAATATTATATTATTATTAATAACATTAGATTAGATAGGCACATTAGAGAAGAACACTAAATGCAATGTGAGGGCCTGGGGAGAGGTTATTATTAATAGGAGAAATAAAAGAAGGTTTTATGGACGAAAGGGCATTAAAGTGCAGGCAAGGAGAGGAAGGGAGGACGTTAAGCACGGGGGAATAGACGGAGCAAAGGCACAGGAGAGTAAAGTACATGATGTTTCCTCATCTGTAATGTGAGGGGTCTGGATTAGCACTATAGGATTTCTAAGGGATAACCTTACTTACAACCTGCATGACCTTAGGCAAGTCGCTTAACCCCCTTCGGGTTTCTGCTTCGTTATTTGTGAAAATGAGGGCTGTTTGACTAGAGCTCATGGCTAAGATGCTCTTCGGCTATAAATGCTACGCTTCTACTCCGTGATCTGTAAAAGCGAAGCTCATTGAATTCATCTGCTTCCTACTGTATATTGCTAATAAACAGAGGCTCCTTTTGGTGGGGGTGGGGCGATGTGGGAGAGGGTGAGGGATGAGGAGGACGTGTAACAAACATCAAAACATCATTTTGTATCCTCTCCACGGACTGCTTGGGCGGGGGGGGGGGGAACTGGGAGGTTTCACTGTGTCATAAAAGCTGTCCCGAAAGGGCATCAGCTATGCCCGCATCTCCGTGTTTTTGTACAGTTTGCTGCAGATGCTAGCTCTTCCCTCCTCGCTGGATTAATTTTCATTTCAAACGCTGCCCCTACCTGCTCCGCTCTTATCTCGCTAGCAGCTTTGCAGGCTCCAGAGGCGTCCGGGCTGCGCTCGGCTCCCCTGCCCTCCTCCCTTTGCTCTCCTCCCTTCCCCTCCCCTCCCCCGCCCACTCGCCTTTTGTCTCGCTCCCCGGTACAGCCGGGGCGCGTTCTGAGCCAGCAAGCTGGGTAATTGCAGGACTGGAAGGAGGAGAGGAGGGCCAGGAGTCTGGAACTGCTAATGAGCGGGTGTAACCGGAGGAAGCGGCGGAGTCCGCGGAGAGACGCTCGGGTCTGTCAGGAAGGCAGCCAGCTGGACTAAAGAGCCCCCGAGCTAGAGCGAAGGGCATTGGCTGCTCCGCTCCATCAAAGCCTGGGAGCGCATCGCTGCGCCCCGGCACTGGGAGAAAGGGGAAGCAAGAGCGGGGAGCGAGACGCCGGGGTGGCCAACCACACACTATGCAATGCACCGCCCTGAATCGCACTGCTCCCGGCGTGGATAATCTTTCATTTGTCACACCTGTAACGCTTGCCTGGCCTCCTTGATTTCTCGCCTATTTCCTCGCCAGCCGCCCCCACTCACCTTCACTCCCCTCCGCTTCCCCTCCTGTCCTCTTCCAAGGCTGCGGCTTGCATTAGGCAAGACGTTCCGACCCGCCCGCTGTGTCACTGACCCCTGGCTCACTCCAATTATCCTCCCGCTGCCCCTCGGCGCGGCGGCGCCAGCCCCCAGCCCAGCCCGCTTCCCTGGCAGGCCCCGGGCTCGTTCCGCTGGCTCCTGGGGCTCAGGGGAGCATCAGTGCCCCGAAAGGACCGCAGATGCCACCCCCGCCCTCCTCCTCTTTGCGCGCCGGGTCGTTCGCTCCAGACGCCCGCGTTCCAGTCATTTCATCAGCGGGTGGGAACTGGCTTGTTTTCTTCCCAGCGCCGTGAGACGAAGAAAGAGAGGAGTGGAGCGGGCCTGGGAGAGAAATCGGCCGGCTGGGCAAGGGGTAAACACCCCAAGGTGTGTGTCAGTGTAGGTGGTTTTACATGCCAGTCTTTGAAGCTGCCCCTGCGGCAGAAGGCCACTTCAGAAATGGTGGAGAAAGCGCTTGCCTGGGATGTCTGGAGTCGTAATTCCAATCCTGACTCTGCCACTGTGTGTGACCTTGGCTGTGTCACTGCCCAGTTTTCCCAAATGTAAAATGAAGGGGTTGGACCCCCACGATCTCTAAAGTCCCTTCTCTCTAATTCCCTATTTCTATGAACTGCTTTGTAAAATTTGAAGCATTTATGAAATGTGAGTTATTTCACCATTAAAGTTTATATATACATGTATATATGTGTGTGTATATATATATATGTATATATGTGTGTGTGTGTGTGTGTGTGTGTATATATATATATATATATGTTTTCATATCCTCCAAACAGAAGTTCGAAGTTGGAGGTTAGGAAAGGATAGGTCAAATAGATGTGAAGAGAACACTCTCTACTGAGCATAAGATGAGAATCAGAATTCTGGAATTTCACCTCCATAATAGGAATGAGATGTGGATATAGGTATTGGACCAGTTCCAGTTAAAATGGTGAAGCAGGAAGTAGGCTGTCACCAAGCATCTCGACACCCCTCCCCCATTCTCATCCAGCCCACTTACAGTCCTCAGGCTCTTTCCTGGTTTGAGGGACCATGTACATAGCAAACTCTCCTAGGAGAGTGCTCCACAATCAAAATTATCTTGCTTCCTCTATGCAAGCATGAAATGACCTTGGTTCCAACTACTTGTCATTGAGAGGACCCAACAATAGTACAATGCCTTAACCCAATGGAATGATAATGTTGTCATTTTAAATGCAGGCAGATGAGAGGAATTGTGGGAGGCAGGCCCTACATATCATAACCACACAGGATGTGAAAGGGCACTATGGGTCTGACCAAGTTACCCCCCTGCTCAGAAACCTTGAGGGGAGGGGTAAGATAAACAGAGAGCATGAGAAGAGAGAGGAAGGGAAGGATGGAGAAGGGAAAGAAAAGAGTTGGGGGGGGAGAAAGAGGGAGGGAAGGAGACAGAGTTGAGTAGGGGGGTAGAGTGTGGTTCAGTCAAAGTGAAAAGAGCACTTGATTAAATCAAAGGGTTTGAGTTTGGATTTTGGTGTCCCTAATTTAGAATGTGTGTCATCTTGGCTGGCCAAGTCACTTAACCCCTGGCTCTTGGTTTCCTCATTGATAAGCTGAGGGCCCTGCATTATATGACCTCTAACTTCTTTCTTCCGAATCTTAATTTTGTGATCCTCTTCCCCCCATATGATAAAATAAAAACTTCTTAGACTGGCACTTTTAAGCCCCCCACAGTCTAATTCCAACCTCTTTTTCCTGCATATTTCACACTACTCCACTTCACAAATGCTACATTCAAGCCTAACCATGATCTTTTCCTCATTGTGCAGGCTGTCCCCTACTCCTGGAATTCACATCTTTCCCAACTCTGCCTTTTGAAATGCTCTTCCCTTTAAAGATTATCAGTATTCTGACTCCCCTATGTGATGCTTGGGATCTTCCCTACTACCACCTTCACCAGCAAGTCAAGACATGACCCTCCTGAGGTCATTGGGCCTCTTCTAGAATGACTGCCACCACCTCAAAAGACACTGACTCCTGATTCACACTCCCACCATCATTAACTCACCCCAGTCCAACTAAATGTGAATTCTCCCACACTTAGAGCATTTTAGCTAGGATTTTTCCTTCGCCCTTCTATCTTGTATACGGTGTTTTCCCCCCTCCCTATATGACTGTAAACTCCTTGATAGCAAAGATTGTAAGAACGTAATAATGCTTTGTTGAAATGAATTCAATTTGGAGCTTCATTCAGAATCAGAAGATCTGGTTTTAGGTACCCATTTGGCCATTTACTAGTTTTGTGACTTTCTGGGGGGAAAAAAGTAAATCTCTGAACCTTAGTTTATTCATCTGTAAAATGGGAATGGAAATACCTGCCCTAACTACTTCACAAGGTAATCATGCAACTCAAATGAAGTAGCAGATGTGAATAAATAAGGCTTTATACAAATTTTAGGTGTTATTAGAGGTGACACAGATGTCACTCCCCTGCCCCAAAAATCAGAAATGCCTCCGTATTGCTACTAGAATAAAATAAACAGCCAGCCTAACATTAAAATTCTTCCACAATTTAATCCCCTCCTACCATCCTAGTCTTATTTCATGTTATTTCTCATCATGCATTCTTCCTGTAGGAAACTACCTTTCATTTCCTCCTCCCATGCCTTTTTGTAGGTGGTCCTGCAGTGCCTGGAATGTTCTCTTTCCTCCCCTCTGTCTATTAGAAGCCATAGTTTCCTTCAAAGCACAGGTCAAATGACACTTCTGATCCTCCTCCCCCAAGACCTACTAGGTGTCCCTCTTGCAGTTACTTTGAATTTCCTTATAAATAGTTTATTTTATAGCACTTCTAGGGCTGTATCCCAAAGAAATCAAACAAATGGGAAAAGGACCCACACGTACAAAAATATTCATAGCAGCTCTTTTTGTGGTGGCAAAGAATTGGAAGTTGAGAGGATGCCCATCAATTGGGGAATGGCTGAGCAAGTTGTGGTATATGAATGTAATGGAACACTATCATGCTATAAGAAATGATGAACAGGCTGACTTCAGAAAAACCTGGAAAGACCTATATGATCTGATACTGAGTGAAGTGAGCAGAACCAAGAGGACTTCGTACACAATAACAGCCACATTATGTGATGACTAATATTGTTAAACTGAGCCCTTCTCAGCATCACAAGGATCTAAGACATCTCCAGAGGCCTCAGGATGGAAAATGCTGTCCACATCCAAAGAAAGAACTATGGAAGTCGAATTGCTATCACTTATTTTTACCTTCTGTTGAGTTTTGTTTCATCTTCCTGATGGTTCCTCCTATTGGTTTTAATTTTTACTTACAACTTCACTAATGTGAAAATATGTTTAATAGGAATGTAAATGTAAAATCTATATCAGATTGTGCGCCGTCTTGGGGAGGGTGGAGGGGAGGAAGAGGGAGAAAAATTTTCAACTCAAAAGTATATGGAAGTGATCGTTAATAAATCAATAAATTAATAAAATTGGGGGGAAAATAAAAATAAATAGTTTATTTTAGTTGTTTATGTGCATATTGTGGGGTAGCTAGGTGGTACAGTGGAGAGAGCACAGAACCTGGATTCAGGAAAACTCATCTTCCAGAGTTCAAATCTAGCTTCAGACACTTCCTAGCCATGTGACCCTAGACAAGTCACTTAATCCTGTTTGCCTGAGTTTCCTCATCTGTAAAATGAACTGGAGAAGGAAATGGCAAACCAATCTAGTATCTTTGCCAAGAAGACTCCAAATGGAGTCACTAAAAGTCAGATGTGACTGAAAAACAACTGAACAATATAAAGTGCAAGACCCTTGAGGGGCTGGGATTGTCTTGATTTTGTCTTTGTGGTCCCAATAGCTAGTGTAGTGCTAGGCATGTAATAGCAGCTTAAGAAAAATTTGTTGAATTGACTTCCCTATGGAGACCCTAACTCCTCTTCTACCTAGATTGTGCTTTCTTTACTTTTATCATTTGTCCCCTCTCATTTCTGCCTCTTCAAGCTTCCCCTCCCACTCTGCTCCTCCTCCTCTGATAACTTTCATTGCCTTTCAATCCACTTCTCTGACTTCCTCCTCCTACAGCTCTCATGTGCAGAAATTTACTGCTCCTGTCTTGGCTAAGTACTTAGTGCTCTGGGAATCTTTAATCTGTGGATGCAGACACTGACCATGAGTATATCCTTTATAGAAGTTCTCTTAAAAGGCCCTTCTCAGACTACCAGTGGTCAGATGGGGTCCATGTCCTGAAAAATTCCAACATGGCATGCCAAGAAACTCATTCTCAGGTTTTAGAGTCAGAACTGGTATAGCCTGCTACCACCTAGGTATTCCTCTTTCCACTGGTTTAACCCTTAGCTGTCACTACCGAAGAAGAATAGAGAGTCCTCCTTCCCCCCCCACTCTAGACCTCATCCTTGGCACTCAAAGCTTTCAGTCAATCAATCAGTCAATTAACATTTATCAAGCACTTATTATGTGTCAGGCACTGTGATTAGCACTCAGATACAAAGAAAGGCAAAAGACAGTCCCTGCTCTGAAGGAGCTCACAAAATGGGGGAGACAACATACACGTAAAATAGATGCAGGAAAAATTGGGGGAGGGGTAAATCTCAGAGGGAAACGGCTAACATTAAGGAAGATTAAGAAAGGCTTCTTATAACAAAGTAGGATTTTACTTGAAACTTGAAGAAAGCCAAGAAAGCTATAAGGCAGAGATAAGGAGGGAGAGAATTCCAGGCACATGGGACTGCCAGTGAAAATCCTTAGAGTCAAGTGGTTTTGTTCAAGAAACAGCAAAGAGGTCAGTATCTCTGGAGTGAACAATATAGGAAAAGAGTAAGGTATAAGAAGGCTGAAAAGGTAAGAAAGGGCCAAGTTAGCTTTAAAGGCTAAACAGAGGATTTTATATTTGATCCTGGAGGGAATAGGGAATTTACTGAATAGATGGGGTGATATATGGTCAGACCTTCACTTTAGCAAGCTCAATTTGACAGCTGAGTGGGGAATGAACAGGAATGGGGAGAAGCTTGAGGTAGGAAGCCTAAGCAGCAGGCTAGTCCCAGAGTGGCATCATAAGGGCCTGAACCAGGGTGGTGGCAGTGTGAAAGGAAGGAAAGGGTCATACGTGGGAGATGTTACGAAGACAATAACATTAGCACGTGACAACTAATTGAATATTAGGGAAGAGAGTGAGGAATAGAGAAAGACTTCCTTGGTACCCTTCCCCCACAGCATCGACCATAGAGCACTCACAGAGAAGATCATCTAACTGCAGTGGTAGGGAATAGAATATTTGGAGTGAGGCTTGGGTTTCAGGCCTGGATCTGCTACTTATTTGATCTTACTGAGCTCCTAAGCAGCAGTTTCTTCATCTATAAAAACAAGAGGTTATACTCTGATCTCTAATGGCTCTTCCAGCTCTGACAGTCTGTAATTTGAAAATTTAAACTATATACAAAACAGCTGCAAGATGTGTACAAATATCATGTTGCTCAACTCAGTTTAATTTAGCTTAAGACTGTTTTTAGTCTCCTCCAGGCCCGCCCTTTTTTTCATCCCCAGGTCAGCTGGCTCCTCAATTCCATGAACTATAACTCAGTTCTGAGAGGCAGCTGGATGGTACAAGTAGATATAATGCTGGGCCTGG